CACTACCTCCTTTCATTCTTAGAACATGATTTGCAGAATGTTAAAGCTGCTTATTTGTAAAGAATGGGCAGAAATGGGGGGAAAAAAGGTCTTTGGAAGCCGTATGTTAGTTTAATATGAAGAGCAGCACAAAATGAAAGTGTTTTTCTTTTCTTCCTTTTCTTTCTGGCTGGCCAGTTTTTGCAATCCAACATGGTTTATAAATGAAGTGTGGATGTGCCGTTTCAGGCCATTATGCTAGGAATATAATATCCCAAGCAAGCAGAAGTAACAATCGTATTGTTTATAAAGACATGAAGGTGAGTGGAAGATTACTGAATTTTCATTTTTGGGCGAGCTGTCCGTTTTAAAGCAGGTGGAGCCTCACATGATGTACTACACTAATTTGGATGTATTTTCTTCACATTTCAGCGTTTTCAGAAGCAAAATCCTTCAGAGATGGGTCAGCTAGTATCGTGATGAATCGGCAAATGTGTTTTTGGTAGTGCAATTGTCTCCAGTAGCAAAATTAGACAAATCTAAGCTAACGTTGTTTCCACAACTTTGCAAAAGAAAAACTAGAAAGATTGATTACAGCAGTTTTTTCATCTCTCCTTCAGACCTTGTATTAGAAACGCCCTCTCAGGTCACAATTGATCAATTTCGGTGGTGTTCAATTATTAATTATTGACTGTTGATAATTGTGAAAAAGTCCACTGGACACACCCAGCTTAGGTTATGCAGTACTGAACTGATGAGTTCATTCAATGCAGACCGCTAAAATGAGCTGTCCTGTGGAGACCGGGATGGTTTGAAACCCCCTGGTTTAATAAAACTATGCATATGTCTTTCTCTATGTGCAGATTTTGTTGTGTCACTGATGTGCCTTCTTGATTTTGGAATCTGATAGTGAATGTGAAATGGGGGAAGGAGAAGTTTGATGCGGTGGAGCTGAATACAGAGGAGCCGCCCATGGTGTTCAAAGCCCAGCTTTTCGCTCTAACGGGGGTTCAGCCAGAGAGACAGAAAGTCATGATGAAAGGTGGAACGCTGAAGGTACTGGATGCGAACCGTAATCGAGAGCATTCGAAATGTGCTGTCCTCTGTTATTGCAGGTGTCTGACGCATTTGACTTTTGTTCACCAGGATGACGAGTGGGGCAACATCAAGTTGAAAAATGTAAGTATATGGCTAAACCTGTTTTCTGGAAGAATCTGAAAATTAAGTTTTGTCCTGTAATCCGAATTCAGCGGTTATTGGTTAAAAAGTGAATAATGGGCTCCAAATGCGTTTGTCCAAAAGTATGCCTTAAAAAAATGAACGTTTATCCTTTTTAGTCCTTAAAGTGTTCATATGATGCGATTTAAAATTGTCCTTTCTCTTTGGAGTGTTACAAGCTCTTGGTGCATAAAGAAGATCTGTTAAGTTGCAAAGACTAAAGTCTCAAATCCAAAGAGATATTCTTTATAAAAGTTAAGACTCTGCCACGCCTACCCGTTTTTTATATTTAAAGAGTTTTTATATATTTTTATATTTAAAGCGAGTTTTTTGAGCAGTGTAGAGTAGCGCTTGTTGTTTGTCATTTCTCCGATCACAAATGCAGACATGGTTTTATGTTTACGCTGCGCGATGCAACGCAACGCGTAAAAAGACAGTATAAGTCATTATAATCCATAATTATGTCCCCACTGGATGCAACGAATGCTTCGTTTATAATGGGTTTTCATGTTTTTGAATCGTCGCTCCGGCCGATTAGCAACATCATATGACCCCTTTAATACATGTACCTGGTCTTATTATGCTCATTGTTGACTACA